AAACTTGATTTTCTAAAATTTATATACAAAGTATGTTTATAAATTTTAGTCTTATCTGAATTCAAGATGCATGGTGCCCTGCTTATATTTGTACTGTATATTACAATAGTACTCACAATCTAATATTTGTTAAAATGACTTTATACTATATTAGGCCAACCGTTTGTAAAAAATCAGACTGACCCAGTTCTAAGACAGAGCACAAGACCAATTTTAGTCGAACTGACTAATATCCATAATTGTGCACATGATCTAAATTTAATATATCAGATCAATTATCGCAAAATCCTGATTCAAGTTAACTTAAAATTTTAAGCAACTTAATATCTAGATACTTCCCCATTCCTGGTTTTGTGCGATGACATCACGCAGCTACCTTATTTTGTAAAAGTATTTATATAAGCAATCTACAAAATAAAGATAGTAAAATAAAAGTAAAAAAAAGTTTTTTTTAGGTTACGAGTAAAAAAAAAATTAAATTCTAACCTATTAGAAAACAGAAATTAGTGAACAGAAATTAGTGAACAAATACAGAGCAGATTCTTTTATTGACTGCGCGAATCACGTGACTGGAAATTTGTACAACACAGAAAATTCTAGAAACACAATTTTGACAAAGTCATGTGATCTCTGTTCTTAGTCTAGGTTATGTGACCTTGGATCATGATAAGGTAACATTAACAAAAGTGGATCTATCATGGTGTTATAATGGTGTTATCATGGTATTAGCATAGGTTATTTACTAATAAAATATTAACAAAACTAATAGTTATATCGTGGATATATCGTGGGTTTATCATGGGTTAAATTATGTGGCAGATTGTTATTGCCACCCCTACTTTTGTTAATTCCACCCAACCGGCCTCCAAACCATGTTCCAAGGTTACTAAGAACAGAGATCACATGACTTTGTCAAAATTAACACTCAGAAGCGATCGTTGGTGTTTGGTGCTATGTAAAATTGCTTAATAGGGTAAAAATAGCTGTATTTAGGTAATTGATTTACAGCATATTTGCTTTCTTTAGTAATTTTGAGTTTCACAAAATTCAACAAGTTGTATGAAAACACTCTATACTCTATACTCTCTCTGCGCTACATATTGAGTATTGGTGCTCAAAAAAATTTCACTAACGAACAGCTATCGTATTTATATAAAAAAATCGTACCAAATAAATGTTAAAAAAGGAGATTAATTTTTTTAACGACTGCATTAATTGAAAAAAAATAATAATAATTAAAATAGTAATAATAAAAAAAAAAAAAAAAAAAAAGGAAAAGAAATAAAAAATATTATGAGACTGCTAATAAAAAAAAACTCTTAGCTAATAAGGTAATTCATATTGTATTGTTAAAAAACGTTTTCTATCTTTATCGATATTTTATTTAGTCTATATAAATTTTTAGGTTAAATAAAAAAAAAATTCCCAAAATGCTCGCTTAATTAGGAAAACTGGAAAATCTATTTTCTTTATTAAATTTACTTTTATTTTTAGATATTGCGAATTTTAACCTATTAAATTCTATAAATAAAAATAAATTCAGTTGTGTAAATTTCTCGCATAAAAACACATAAAATGCACAAAAATTTTCACTTGTCTAATATTAATTGGATATCAAAAAAAAAAAACAAAAAAATATATCTTAGTGCTTAGAAAGTAAACCAAATTTTTAAAAATATGTATATCTTAATTTTAAAAACACATAATATTATTAGAGAACTTTACCTCAAAATACATTATATATCCAAAAATAAATATATATATATATATATAATATAACTATAAAAATAAAAAAATGCCAAATCTGATTTTTTAATTTATAGAACAATTACTATAACCTCAATAAGTAAACTGACAATCATTACCAACCCAGTAATCATACATACATACGTACATATGAATGTACTGTCTTAACATTAACAAATGCATACCAATACTTCTTAAATAATCAACACAATGTAATTACCAAAATTAAAACAAATATAAACCTTTGGAGCCTTATTAAGATCAATAATGATAATAATGCTCCTGTTGTAACCAAGATTATCACGTATTTCACGCCACCACAAATTAATTGTGCATTTAACTATTGTTCGAAAAAAAAAATTATTCTAATCAGTAATATATAACTTATAAAAAAAAAAACTTTGAAAAAAAAAAAATATATACTTAAATATTGTTTATCCTTAATTATCAATGATATGTTTAACAAAAACGCTAACATGCTTAATTTGTAAAATTAATCAATGCTCATAATATATCAAATCTAATACATTTACCCATTATGATTAAAAAAAAATATACCTCCTATTAAGTTATGCATTAAGGCAGTGTTGGCAATTTTTGCAGCCAAACAATTTTTTGGGGCTGGCCAACTGGCCAACCAGCCAACGGCCATTGGCCAATGGCCAAACTTTGGCCAAAAATTTTTAATTTTGTAATATTAACCAATCATATTGCTAGTTTTTATTATATAATCTTTTGGCCATTTCGGCCAAAAAAAATTTTTCAAAAATTTGGCCGTTGGCCAGCCAAATACCTATGTGACAACACTGCATTAAGAGCATCGATCCTTAATTATTAATAATATAATTAACAATAATGCTCTTGTGCTTATTACGTATATCTAAATTCTAAATTTTGCTTATAGTACGCCAAGTCAAATGTGCTTCCTATTACAATTAAAAAACCAAAAAAAAAAAAAAGAGAAACCTCCAATTAGATTATACTTAGATAACATTTATCCATAATTATCAATGATATGTTTAACAATAATGCTACAATGCTTATTTTGTAAACCACGCTTTCACATTGATAAAAAAAAAAATAAAAATAAATAAAAAAGGAGGGAATCTCCAGATTATACCTTAATAACTTTTATCCGTAATTATTAATTATATGTCTAACAATAATGCTATCATACATATCTCGAAAATCTGATCTTCATTCGCTACATCAAACTAAATGTGCTTCAAAAAAAAATATTATTAACCATAATTGTCAATGATAAGTTTAACAATAATGCTACCATGCTTAAATCGTAAACCTGATCTTTACTCATAGTACATCAAATCTAACACGCTTCTATTGTATTTATCCATAATTATTAATGATATGTTTAACAATAATGTTACCATACCTATTACGTAGACCCGATCTTCATTCACAATATGTTAATGTTAAATTAAAACATTTTTAATACAAAAAAAAAAAAAAACTCCTAGTAAATTATAATCAGGGTCGTTTACCCGTAATTATCAGATGATATGTTTAATAATGATGCTACCATGCTTATTTCGTAAATCTGATCTTCACATACAATACGTCAAGTTGAATGCACTTACTAAAACAATTAAAAAAAAAAAAGCAAACCTCCTATAATAAAATTATACTTTAATAGCATTAATTCATAACTACCAATGATATGTTTAGTAATAATGCTACCATACTTATTTTGTAAACTTAATCTTCACCCACAGTATATCAAATCATACACGCTTCCAATGTACTCAACTATAATTATCAATGATATGTTTAACAAAACTACAAATACTTAAAACATAAACCTGTTCTTCACTCATAATACTTCAAATCAAATGTGTTACCACTGCGATTAAAATAAAACTCTCTTATTAAATTATACTTTAAGTACATTTGTCTATAATTGTTGGTAATATATTTAACAATGATGCTACCAAATCCCTTTAACTTTGCTCGAGATACACCAAATCAAATGCGCTTCCTATTATGATTAAGAAAAAAAAATCTGTAATTATCATTAAAATGTTTAACAATAATGCTACAGTGCTTATTCCTTAAACCTGATCTTCGATCACCTAAATATACTACCAATTACTATTACAAAAATAGAACCTCCCAATTGAATTATACTTAAATAGCATTAAATCATTAACAAACATAGATAAATTTAACAATAATGTTGACTTCAATTAAAATTATTAGCTACTAACCTGACTAGCAATAATGCCAAAATGAAAATTTTGATAATTCAACCTTCAAAAGATCATCAACACGACAAATCAAATATGCATTCTATTATTCCGGAAAAAAAAAAATAATTAAAATTGATTATCTAAAAAAACAATATTTAATATTATAAATTTTAATGCATGTCACATTTGCTCATTTAACTAAAATTGTTAACGCAAACACAATAATAGAACTGCTAAACTACTTACTTAACTCTATATAAATTTCCCACAACTATCTAGAGAAAAAAAAAAAATTAAATAAAAAAAAAAATAAAATAACTTCCAATAAAATCATATAACTAATTGATTAACTGTCACCTGCACCCTTTCTAACTCTCAATACTCATAAAATCATAACACAATTAATAAAAAGTGCATTTTACAATAAACCTAAAAAAAAATAAAATAAAATCATTTACCGTGAAATATAATTAATTATAATTAAATTAGAACATTAAAATTGTATTAATTAGCAAAAAAATAAATAAATAAATAAATAAAAAAAAAATCTAATTATTATTAAGCATTAAATAAATGAATGCTACTTCAGTACCTCTCCTTTAAAATTGATCCTTCATAGATCAATCGTACAATAAATATTAATAGTAATTATAAAAAAATAAAAAATAAAACTTATAAAGGTATCGTCTGTCACTTTTTACTAACTTCACTCAACATTAGAATTCAAATAAATAAGAAATAAAAACTCTCACAAAAAAAACTTAAAACAAAAATAAAATAAAATACAATAAAAATCATGACTTCTATTTTTTGTGCTATCTCATTTATCAAAAATATTTCAGGAGACAAAACGTATACCGGTAGCGCTGTGTATAGAACCAGGAATGATGAATTTATTGAATACAGATTCAAAGCTTACAGAAATAGCGAAACGTCATTAGTCGAAGAGATGACCAAAAGAAACATTTTAATGATAATCAGTCGATTTGTATTCGACAAAGAATTAAATGTAAAAAAAAAATTATATACGTATATTTATCAAATTAAATTATAAAAATCACGTGTTAATATATTTAATATTCGCGATTTACTAATTAAATTATTATAGAAACAAATACACTAACCTTTTTGTTTCCCCACGTTTAACCTTTTTCACTCTCTATGTCTTTACTTATTATTTTTCTGATCAATTAATCAATTAAGGTAACAATCAAACAACACACCCCCCTAAACATCCAAACGATGAGTGATTACTCCACTGTGTATGATCTTTCCATTTCGCCAGCCTTTGGCGTCTTCACTGCCCCCATCCAAGACCCAGGCACCGCAACCGAAGACACTGCAGCTTTTTGTCTTAAATGAGAAGCTTACAATGGGTAACTGGACACACAGTAACAATGCTTGTACTATGTAAGTATAACCTAATAAAACGCCACTTCAACGTTGCAGATGCAACTAGAAAACGTCTCATATTCTTGGTTGCAGGGGAACTGGTATTATTAAAAAATACAGCATATATTTTGTGTGACCCCATCGAATGGACCTATCCCACCTCCGGAACTTCAAATAACAGCGTTGCGAACACGCCAGCCAAAGCCAGCAGGAGACAAAGAAACGACGATCTAGAAAAGTTAGCCGAGAAATTCAATTCCCTAAATATTAAAAATCAAATGTACAGAGAACAAGAAAACGCGAGAGAGGATCCACAAGAAGAATGCTCTACAAGAGCAAATGTATTGAGATTAGCCATAAATGATATTAAAGGTATAAAATTAAAAATTAAAATTTAAGAAAAAAGAAATATAAATATATTTATATTAAAAAAAAACAAACAAACAAAAAACAACAAAAAAAAAAAAAAATACTAAAAAGAAATCGAAAATAAAAATAGAAAACAATAAAAAAAATAATATAAAAAAAAAAATAAAATAATCGTTTAATACTGTAAATCGTTGCTAAAATTCTGATATGCCTAACCAATTTAACAACATAAATAAATATTAACCTGTTAAAGCAACTTCTAAACAACGATTTACTTTACAAATATTATTTTTTAAAACAACAATAATTAATAAAATTGAAATTTAGGAAACAATATTACGATACTACACCCTAAAAAATTTCAACAAACTGACAACGAACCACCCAAAACAAATCATAATACCCCTAACAGAGCATAATCAACCACCCAAAGCTTCTTTTAAATTTTTGCATACGTGGGTTGACGATTATTCTGACAACAGATTCATGGATGAAAAAAGACTATCTGACCCAGCCGAACCAGAATCAATCGAAAATACCCAACTGGCCCAAAAAAAACTAAAAAAAAACAAGAGAAGAAAATATTAAAACAATTAATCATCATATTTTTCATTTTTTTACTATTATTATCGCTATCTTCATTCTTTTTTTATTTTATTTTTTTTATTATTTCTATTTTTATTTCAATCAAAATATTTATTTTTTATTTTTCTTTATTTGACAGACCTTAATCAATTTAATAAATAATATAAAAAATAATTTTTAGTATAATCGTTAATTAAAACTAATAAATAAAACTTCATACTTATCAACATAATTAAATTACTTAACATAAATAAAATATAGATAGTATAAAAATGTAAAAAATTCTCATCCTACTCACAAAAAAAAAAAAAAAAAAAAAAAAAAAAACATTAATTATTTATTTATAATAATTACATTAAATCTACCTGCGAAATATTGATCAAATTTTTTTAAAAAAAATAAAAAAAAATAAAAATTCACAAAATAAAAAAATACAAACTTAAGCGATGCCTAAAAATTCTAATTACACAGTCCACCATTACTTAATTCACGACTACGAAAAAACTATCCCGCTAAACTCAACCGAAGGAAATTCAGTTGCAGATAGTGATAATATTTTCTGCTCTTATATCCATTGTAATGAGATAAACCAGTTTGAAACAAACAATTATCTGCTTTCGTTTCAACAAAATCACCCACTCAACATGTTACCCATGTTCACACCTTGGAGACCATCTACTGTATTAAAAAAACTTTTAAATGACTTTGAGATGAAAATACTGCATGACCACCCTCACATTCCTTGCTGTTACTGTTCAGAATTGATGTTTCGTTCTGCAATCCAATGGATTGAATATGATCCTAATAAAGATTACACTTTACCTATAGCATTCTCAAATGTGTCAATCTACATTCATCATTACACCAACAAACCTTCCAAAGTGGCCATTTGCACCGGCTGCAAAAAACCGAACACCAGAAAATTTCCTCCAATTTTAGCTAATATTCCCCAAGAAATAGTTCAAGTACCAATAAAACACAGAAAACATCTTTCACCAATTCACATGATGTGTTCGTTAGGAAGAGCACCCAGATATAACCTGTACACTACATACTGATTTTTACAAGGTGATTTTTTTCCAAGTAAAAATTCACACTCGCTCGAATTATATTCTGGCTTAGTTGGAGCATTTCTAAATGCTAGCAAACCTGCTAATTGGTACCACGAAACTCTTCTTGCGGCCTGTAATTGGTTAAAAAGGAACAACCCAATATTTTAACAGTATGAAAACATACTTGTTATCAATATACCCACGCCAACACACAATTATCCAATACCTCTACCTACAGCGCGACACTTACAGACAAATTCAAACCATGTTTTGTTGCGAAATACATCTGCAATTCCTGAACTCATAATTCCTACAGGTGAATTTCCTCCAGAAACTCACGATGAGGATCAAAGATATCACAGACTCATGGCCGGGTTCATGAACCTTGAAAATTTAACATTGCCAATACCTTATAGTGATCCCGACCTGTTCCCAACAGGGAAAGGTCATTATCAAAACATATGCAACTAACTTAACTTTCAAACCGCAACAGAAAGTTTAGAAAATATATCAAACTTAGAATGCTCTGTCTAGATCCAAGATTTAGATTACACTAGTACTGGCCACACTGGTCATATCTAAACCTCAAAAAAAAACGTAACTTCCAATACAATTGCAGAATACTGAACCAAAAAAATATATTACGCGAATATCACCCAACCAGAGCAGAACTTATAGGTAAATAATCTGCTTATATTACACATTAATCTTATCCATACAAAAATAATCAAAAAATTAAAACAAAATCAACTAAACTAAAATCATTTAAATTACCTTAAACTTTCTAACACATTACACGTTAACATATCTACACTTATATTAGGTCGAAGCGTATATATTGACATCATATAATTGACGAATCGAAAACAACCGCAGTCCGCACAAGCTTAAGAACTGCATTGCCTTTCTTTAAACAAAAAGAACACCAAGTCAATGCAATGTTATAAAGCTTGGGATTACTGCAAATTTTCTATACTACAACATTGGCTGAAGGCAAATGAAGTCTTCTTGAAGAAATCCTTAGATCAACCAATAACGGTGATACATTACCTACAAATCGCCCGCTACACGAATACATATTTTATTACTATAAGCTCAACAATATGCGAACAAAATTATAGAAAAACAAAAAGCTCATCCAATGGAGTAAATTCAAAAACTACTTCAAATGAGACGAGTTCCAGAATAGAGACACTATTCACACTCACAGGTTCGCTTATACCAGTATCAAAACCCTAGAGCTGATCTAAAAAAACACAATAAGAGCTGACTTACCAGACCAATACCAAGAGCCTGAGCTATACAAATTAGTTACTGCCTATCAAATTCACAAGTAAAATAATTTTTTTCTAAACAAAAAAAAATAATAATAATAAAATAAAATTCAAACAACTAAGTATATAAACATTTAAAAATAAAAAAAATAAATAAAATAAAAATTTTAATATACTTAAAGGAAAAAAAATAATAATAATTCGCAACAATGACAATACTAATAATGGAACTAATAAAAATATTATCCTTATTAATATTAATAATTATTGAAAAAAATAATATTATTATTATTATTAACATTATTAGTATTGCATCATAATAACTAAAATTCTTGCAAACTTCTCTAACAAACAATAAACTCAATAACTCTGTTATAGATGTCACCCAGATAAATGTGGTGGTCCCACTAATGACAGAACAGTTTGCAGAAAAGGATTTCCCTATCCCTATCAGATTCGACACACATGGACAACTATTCACTAAGATATATATACTGGAGAACGAAAGAGGAGGATCGTTAGGCAGTGCTATATCACCCAGAGACATTATTAATATGGCAAGGTCATATCAATTTCCAATACATCACCACCACTGGATTCGCCAAAACCCGAGCCTTTAGAAACATTTGACATCGAAGATCAAGACAGTTATCGAACTCACATACAAGCAAGGAGACTTGGTGCAATGAAGTTGATGATACTCCTTCTTCAATACAAGATAACAAGGTCAACTGTATCTGTTTAATATCTACTATCAGCAACATCTAATTTATGCATCAGGGCAGTTAAACCCATCTACATGCAATTAAACACCCAAGAAAACGAAGATGACAAAGAAGAAAAACCCTACTGGGACGATGCAATTGACAAATACTTTGATTATCCCGAAACCGAAGAATTCACAAACGCGACATACCCTGAATATTTTCAAAAATATAATATAAAACTACTCGACCAGCCTCAATATCAAGACAACCGTGGACGAGAGATCAAAAAGGCCATTACGTAATCAAAAGGAAAAAACCCCTACTTTTGAGATTCGTCAATTATAAAGTAAAAGATAGTAAGAAATAAATATTAAAAAATTTAACACATAGATGATAATAAAATTAATAATATATAAACAAACCTCTCGCGATATTATAACAATTACAAAACGCAATTAGTCTTATTTTCCTAAAATCAGTAACACAAAATTAAAGTAATACAAAAAAAAAAAAAATGAAACACAAAAACAGAAAAAAAAAAATATCAATAATAATTAATAAAATATTATCTTCATAAATTTCAAACTAACAAAATATGATTATTCTCAACAACTTAGAAGAACTGTTCTTTTTCCAGCATCTTCTAATGAAAATCCCATGCTACTCAGAAGAAGAGCTTCTCAGAAATCAACCAAGTTATTTTGAAAGATTTAAATCCTTATTTTCAACTCAATTCGAACAAGAAATAAACAAACTCACCAACACTTCCATATCACAACAACTTCGAACATCAACTGCCTATAAAAAAATCATTGAAGAAATATTAACTGACCTAAACAACATGGAACTTCACGAATTAATCCTAAATCAACTAATAATATTAGAACGTAAAACACCATCATTAGGACCAAATAATACACTAATGTTAGATGAAGACCAATACTCAATCTTCGATATTCTCTCTAACTCCTGGAGACACCAAAATTATGGAAAATACCATTACCTTTTCTTAACCGGATTAGCAAGCACCGGTAAATCGTACCTACTATACATAATCATCAACCTCTTAAAATCCAAAAGAATCAATTACCTCTTAATAGCACCCACTGGTATTGCAGCTCAAAACGTGGTGGTAAAACCATTCATTCTGCACTAAAAATAAGACAAACACAATTACATTACGAAACCCTAATAGTCAATGATCAAAACACAAAAGAAGACCTGAAAAAATCTAAGCTTTAATCATAGAAGAAGTATCTATAGTTTTTAGCGAATTACTCTCCTTCATAAACAACATGTTTGGCTCCCTTCACAATAACTCCAAGATATTTGGAGGAATTCCCGTACTTCTAGTCGAAGACCTCTTTCAATTACCACCAATAAACGCCCAATATGCGTTTTATTCACCAGTTTGGAAAAGATTTTCCCTTTATTTTTAACCCAACCAAAAAGACAAAGAACTGATCCAAGCTTCTACAATTTACTCCAAGAATTATGTTACGGTCATCTATCCAAAGCTTCAAAAAAAATAATCAATGATAAAATTCAAAACTCTACCACACCAATCTCGACGCTATAGCATCAACACACCTCGTAGGAATATGTAATACTGCTAAAGAAATTAACAAAATCATTTGTGAAAACCTTCCTAATAACAAATACGGCATAAACTCCATAACATCGAAAGCCACTAACACCCTTAACAATAACCTACTTAACACGAATGATCATAATAACCTTAGATTCAATCATCACACCAACTTACCAGATGCGGTTATTTTAAAAGAAGGCGCAAGATTTA